AGCGTGCTGGCTGGGGAATTCTGGGAGTCGAAGTCCACGCATCTTCAAGTTGCCAGGTTTGAAAAACACTGACCTAGAGCCTCCCTTGCATGCAATACAAAGTTGCCTACATCCCACCAACTAGGAAGTGTGTGAGTGTACTGACACACCCCCAGATCATCCATGTCATCTCTACCCGACCTGACATTCTCCAGATGCCCCCTCCCCATGAAATCCAGGAGCTGGGGTCCTGCCACACTTGGGGGGCATCAGATTCCACTAGGCTGACTTCGCTTATCTCTTTGGAACAACTGAAAGAAGCTTGTCAGGGGCTGTCTTGTCAGCTAGACAAGGGAAAAGGAAGGAGGGAGCCAGGGATATAAATAGATTTGCAAAGGAATTTAAATCTGATCCATGTCACTCTTGCACAGAGCTGTGCAGTTCAGTTTTTAGCGGAAACCATCCTGGGTTTTTTTTTGGCTTGGTTTTATCAGCCGTATATATAAAAGATGGAGGGAGAGAAGTTCATTCCGGTGGACTTTTAATACAAACCGTTGTCCTGCCCAACACACCCTTTTCTTCATTTTTTGCACCTGGAAAAAGGGTTGCAAAATGCACGGCCCGGAAAAAGGCAAAACTCTTAAGGATTGTTTTAGGAGCAATCTGGAGAAATGCATATCAATTCTCACGCAGACTTTTCAAACATTGCCATCCATAACTTGTTGCAAAAACAGCGAACTGGAGACTGGAAAAATACGGAAGCGAAAGAAGCCGAAATAAATCCACCCCTAATGCGGTATGTTTAGGGTTGACAGGCTCATGTTTGTTTCATCTCAAACAAAATTCAGATGGCTTTTCCATGCTTCAAACACCCTCCCCAATGTCAGCCTGCAAATGAATCTCTTGGAAATGATTAGCCATGGTCAGAAGCCCTGAATCTCCTACTCTTTGTTGTTCCAGACGTTTGCACTGTACCCGAAATTATATCCACATGCACTTGTTCATCTCCTTCATGCTGCGAGCTATCAACATCTTCGTGAAGGACGCGGTTCTCTATTCTGGCTCGGCGCTGGAAGAGATGGAGCGGATCACAGAAGACGACTTCAAGTCCATGACCGAGGCCCCTCCAGCAGATAAGTCAGCCCTTGTGAGTATCTCTGGCTAGCAAACATCATTCATCCAAACTCCACGAGTAAATGTCTGGAGGTTGAGTCATGGCAACTGGCTTCTTTTCTTTTTGGTAGAGACGTTTCGCTCCTTGTCCAAGCAGCTTCTTCAGGCTAAAAAAAGTTGGTTGGGGGAGCCCATAAAAGTCTTCCAGGGTGGCTGCGTTTCTTACGAGTTGTCATGACTCACCCTCCAGACAATTCCACCTGGATGACTGAGAATCTTCATAAACATATCCATGAGTAAATGAATGTGGAAAGGCCGAATCTGGCTTCAGTCACAGGATAAGGGCAAACTGACCCACCCCAATCAGCCTGTGGGTGAATCTGGTGGTGAAAGAGATCGTGTGACTCCCTATGCATCAGAGCATTAGTGTGGTTGACCTGCAGGAAGTTGTTCCTTTGTCTTCTCCTTGGGAGAGAAGAGCTGCCTTAATCTCTTTTTGGGGGCTTCGTAGGTGTACCTGGTACCTGTGAGACGGACCTCACCCTGATCCAGCAGGGCATTCTCATGTTCTCATGAACTCCTGTCCCACTAACCTTCCATAACTAAGATTGGAAGGAGAACGCTGGTGGGTCAGATCAACAATCCAATCTTCTCATGTTGTTCTACCAGAGGCAACTAGGAAGTCTAAGCTGAAGGTACCATAATGGCATGTGGGAAAGACCCTGGGAGACTGGACAAAGAGATGCTGCCAAGGGAACGATCCGATAAGAGAGAGCATAGCCCGCAGCTGCATAACAGGTGGAGAAAGAGGCTCAGAAGGGACCCTCCCTAATTTCTCAGGCTGTAAAGGAGATGCGGGGGGCGGGGTTGTACTTTCAGACTTGCAAGAAATATGTCAGCCTTATGACATAGACCAGACAGGAAACACAACCAGATCAGCTAATTCTGCTTTATTGTAAAACTACATTAACATAATCTCACGGCCTGGGATGAGATGAAGACAGCATCATGGTTTGGGGCAGTGTTGTCCAAAATTTGCCCCTTTTAAATGAGT